AAATAAAATATAAAGTAAAGCATTTGATAAATAAATGCATATATATATATATATATATATTATATTTATATATATTATAATTATATCTATTAAACAATAACTTTATGATTAGTCATTTATTATTTAATTATTATTAAGCTTTAATAATAAAATATATTTTTATACWTAATTTTAATTGAGATAAATAATAAATATCTAAAAATTTAAAAATACATATTATTCAATAATACTACTTTTAAAATATAAATAATTATCAATTTATAATTTAATTCAATTTTCTAAATAAATAAATTATTTTCTAGTTAATTATATTAAGCTCTATTAATTTTATTTATATTTTAATATAATWATTAATTTGTTTCTTTCCTTTAAATATTATATTATTATAGATTTTAAATTGTATTATAATGTATTAAATATTATTATATAAATTTTTTAAGYATTAAAAAAATAACAGAATAAAATAACATATTTATCWAAAATTAAAAAAAATTATGTATTAATATTACGATTACTGTATAATTTATATTAATACATAATTTTTGATTTTGACTTTATGATTACTCATTTATGATTAAACTATGATTAAACTTTAATAAAAATAATAAGACTTTATTTATATTAAATAATATTATTAAACAATAGCTAAGAAAATGCTAATAACAAAAGAATAGTTTATTTAAACAATTGATTGTAAAAATTTATTTACTAAGTTACAATTATTAATTTTGTTAATTAAGTTTAATATCTAATATTAATTTGTATTAAACGTRCAATTATTAAATTAAATAATATTAACTATAATTTAAAATTCTGTGACTACGATATGATATAACTGTTTAAAATGGCCTCCTATTTAAATGCAAATCAATTGGCAAATAAAAGACATGAAGAGATTAAGGTATTGAAACGTCTGTTAGTCGATGATAGAAAAGAAAGAGAAATCTTAAAAACTAAATTTGAAAGTAATTTGAAAAGCTTTATGTCTGCACACAAACTGCAAGTTCGTGCTAATCATAAGAAAACTAAATTACTTAGAACCGAATTGAACACAACAAAGATTTTGTTATCATTGAAAGATAAAGTATAAATAAAACAATTAAATTAAATAATAGAAAAATTATGAGATTAATCAGTTAACAAAATATTAAGAAAACTAAACGATACTACAGTACTACTAATACATTGTCGTGGATCTAATCATAAATATGATATCATTTATCATTTCTTACATAAAAATCAAATAAAATATCACTTCAATTGATTACATTTATATCGCGATATCAATWTAATWGTCTTTCATATATCTGTCATCACTAGTCATTGGCATAAACCCTTTGTCGGTAATATCTAATKGTATGTCAATAAGTGAAGTCAACATTGATGTGTATATGATATTATAGTTGGCACCGGTATCTCATCTGTTTGTCCATTTTGGTTGACAATAGTGTCATTCAATTGCATCATAATTTGTTTATATCTGTCGCACTCTAATTTGATTTCTTTGATTTGTTGCTTCAATTTATCGCATTCAGTGCTTTTCGCCGACAACTTCCTTTTCAGCTGTTCGTTGTCTGCATTCAGACCATCGATCTGTTGCTTCAGCGACTGTGACTCCGATATGGCATTACTGGTGCCCAACACATACATCATTGACGAGTTTGCGTTCATCATCTGCGGTAACGGGTGTTGTGTAGMGCGAGCCGAGAGATAGTTAGAGCACCGGGAGGWCAGTCAGGTGATAATAGTTTATGTATTGAATSCACTGATTATAAGTGKTTTTAAAAACAAACMCCAAATACATCCTAATAAAAAAGCACATATCAGGTGGCGTTAGTGTTGATTAAAAAAATWATTGGTTTTATGCCATATATTTCGGTAGCTACCGAAATGTATGGCAAAAATAMTAACCATTCATACATATCGTTACGATTTTATTTTGCCATATATTTTGGTAGCTACAGAAATATATGGCAAAAAAACCAATAATTTTTGCCATATATTTCTGTAGCTACCAAAATATATGGCAAAAAAGGAGTAATTTTTTTTCATCAACACTAACGCCACCTGGATAAGGCATATGGGCTTTTTTATTATAATGTATCGCTAATAGATTTATTTGCATAATTAAATAATAGTCATAACAACTTATTTAACAAAGTGTGATATTTTTGGAAAATAAAATGCCATTTAATAAATAAATATAAAACCATTTGATAAGAATTTATTTATTATTTGGCGCTATTTATACAATCATTTATAAGTAATGTYATAATTAAAAATATATCTGTAATATAATATACTGTATTTTTAAATATTTTATTTCTATAGGTTAATATAACAAATAAACAAATAAATTAAAAATTATAATTTATTAGATTAACTACGGTTTAATGTTAATTATCATTATTTTATATAAAATACATTTAACATAATATGAAAAAAAAATTTTCAATATTCAAATTGTTTTCGACATATATTTTTATTTTATTTATACATTTGTCAAAAAAATCATTTAATCTCTTATTAATAATGTCTATACCATTCAAAATTATGTTTAAAATATGATCTAAATTTTTTAATTATTTTATTTATATAAATAAACTTGAAAAAGTAATTGGAAATCAATTAAATAGTGGAAATATTTATAATAAAATTTATCTCAAATTGCTTATTGTGATTGAATTTTCTTTACAATGTCAATAGACAACATAATATTGTATAACAAATCAATTATAAAGATAATTAAAATAAATGATATACATAATAGCAATTTATTTCAATTGTATTATTAATAAAAATCTTTATCTGTACTGTATTTATTTATTTATTTAGCTTATTAATTTTTAAGATAGAATATACACATAGAAATTATTATTTAATTGCATAAATATTGTATATAATACATGATATTTTAATATATTTGAATTAACTATAAATGGATTAATTTTAATCTATTATATAAAAACAAAACAATAAAACAAATTAAAAGCCTTTCACATTAAAATAATTTGTAAATAAAATGATTTTATTATTTTAGTTATACTTTCATTTATTTTTATTATCTCATAATAATCTTATTAGTGATAAATTATTACTAAATAATGTGCTCTAATTTTTAGTGTTTTTAAAACATTTATTTGTTTTTCATTAATTTAAATGCGATTCATATAATTATCGATTACAATGTATAAATAAATGATGATTTCTGTCTAAATATTTAAAATTGTAATTTTGACACAAGTTTTAAATTATAACTAAAGAAAGTTAACTTTAATTTAGTTAATAAATAGAGAAAACAAGTCAACAAAATGTTAGTTAAAGTTCACTGACCTGTAAACTAATATTTGTGAACATCATCTCTAAAGTTATGAACCCTATGTTTAAAGTCAAAATACATAATGATTTTGTATTATTTAAAACGATCTTAAGATTTACTAAAATGAGGTTAAACTACATTAAGKTTTTATTTTTTGAAATACAAATGAATTTTAACATATATTTAATATTCACTTCATATACGGTTTAAATTGAAAAAGATGTTTAGTTTATATTATATATTATATAACTTATGTTTATTTTTTGTTTAGCTGTTAATTGCTATTTACATCACTTTTCTAATTATTTTACAAATATAAAAATGTATAATTTATTAGGAAACTAAAAAAAGATTATAACAATTTATGCAAATATAGTTTTATCATTTTAGTTTCAAAATTTAACTATTTTTCATAATATTTATAAAATACAAAAATAAATTATTGTTTTAACAGTGAAATATAATTAGAAAAAATATTATAACAATATTAATACAGTTACTTACAAAATATTTTTGTCTAAATTTATTAAATCTATATCTATTTTATATAAAGACAGTAATTGTAACATATAAATAAAAATTTTGTTATTTATAAAGAAAAATGAAATTATCAAACAAATAATATAAGAAAATAGAAATAATTATATTTATTAACTCAATTTATTTCATATATGAAGATATGCAGGCAATACAAACATTGAAGACAATAGTTTTATACTGTATTATATTATACTGTTAACATAAAATTACAATTGATTTTTTCTAAATCATATATATTTAAATTTGATATAATTGGGTATAATATATTTTTAATTTTTCAATGATTTTAGTTCAATAATTATAATAATCTAAATATTAGTTGTTGTTATTTGAGAGTGATTGGCACAGCTTTATTAATTGGGAGGAACAGTAGTATTGTATTAAATGCTTGTTTGCTATACTGTGGTGTGTTTTTTTAGTGAACATCCTTTTCAGTGCACATATCAGTGACAGTCAAAAGTGACAACAGATTCAATTGAAAGTCAATTCTCTATTCTCCAAACAAATCACCGAAAAAAACTTTACTCTACTATAGATTCTGTGTTTTATATAATAATAAAATTCATAATAATAATAATAATAACAATTATAGAGATAACTCGTTTGTAGCGCCGATACGCCAGATGTTACCCAACAGGTTGTTAGTGTAGACACTAACCAATCAATGCCATTCAGTTAGACTAAAGCCAATATCTGTTAAATTTTTTATTTTATATTTTTCTCTCGATTTTGTCTCACATATATAAAAGTTGTCCGTTTATTGCATTTATAGTAAACACTAAATAACTATTGAGGACATGAACGCCGACAGTACGGCATAACCAGTCGTTTGTCTGCAAATGCTTTATAAGCTTTCACTAACTCTCAACAATCCGTGCGAATCACTTGTCTCTCTCACACAAACATAAAAGTTTAGTGAATTTACATTTCATTACAATATAATTATTTAACTTTTGCTTTCAATCTTAACGACAATTGTCATCATCTACTCATATAACCAGTCGATGGCCATTAATTAAGACACTCTCAGTCTCTTTTGGTGACAATTTTTGTGTTCAATACTTCTTCAAGTGGTCTCTCAGTTAATAACTGTTTGACAAAAATAAGATTTGTTTTTGTGTTTAAATCCAAATTATATTCACAAATAGTAAATAATATTAAAGTAAAAATTTTACGAACACTAATCCATAATATTTAACTAACGACCTGTCAATTATAAATTTGATCCATTGATGATATCCCGAAATGCCTAATCATCCGAATCACGTGACACAAAGTCAATTGACTTTAACGAGTGCCCACACGGATCACATCGAAAAGTTCAGGTATTGACAACATTTAGATAAATATTTTAATAATTATATACTATTATATAGAATATAACAATATTTATATTATATTAATTAACTTTATTAATTATAACATTATTTATTGTAGTTATTTTAGTAGTAAATTTATATTAATTATCAATTATATTTATTAAATTGTTAATTATAAGGTATTGTCATTATTAATTTATTTAAAAGCAAAAATATTTACAAATTATATATAATTGTAAAAACATTTCTAAAAAACAATAAATTAAATAATAATATAAAAAAGTTTATTATATATAATAATAATAATTCAATTCGAGTCTAAATTTTGTAACACATTAGTCTATAAATAATTTACAGTATTTTAAAAAATTACTAATACTTTATGCATTAAGCGTTTATTTTGTTGAAAGCATTGAAACTAATAATATTTATAGCAATTTCATTGTAAAATTTAATAAAATACAATTATTTTTTAACGCACTATTAGACAAACGATAATAATGATATTTTTGATATACTAAAACATTAAATAATTTTATTTAATAAATGATGTGGTTTTAGTTTTTTAGTTTTTGGTTTAAATGTTATGTTTTTGCAATTATGATGTATCTATTAGTTTATAAATAACATTTAATTTTTATTTCTAAAGTGTAAACAGCGTGACAACAATTTAACTTATTTTAAAATCTTTACAAAAATATAATAATTTTTAGATTCTAAATATATCTATATATATATACATATAATCTTATAATAAACTCTATTTTTATTAGATAATTTAAAATATTAAATGTGATAATTTTATATTAAAAAATTAATTATTATACAATATTAAAAACTAAAGTAATTGTATTATATTTTGTTTAGTATTTTTATTATAAAAGTTATTATAATATTAGCTTTGTATTACTGGAAAAATTATTGTTAATATTAATTGTGTCTAATTGTTAATTCATAGGGAAGTTTCAGTGATACATTACAATCAAATTGAATTGAAATGATAAAAATATATTAATGAATAATAATTAAAATGCAATAATTATAATTTAAAATATAATGACAAATTGGCAATAAATTATATTAAAATAAATAACACGATTATAATTAAAACAAATGATTGATGTGTAAACTGATTTGTAATATTAAACAAGATTTCGTTTATTTTATACCATAATTTGCATAACAATTTGCATTTATGAAAATCACGTTTTAATCAAAAGAAGTAATATTTACAGTAATTTTATGCCTTGTTATGATATACATTAACTTTATATAAATACAGTAATAAAATTTTATTTAAATATTTTGAATATGAATACAATTATATTTTGACGTTTGAATTCAAAGCTAACGTTTTGAGAGAGAGATGTCTGATCCCAATCCCAATCCCATTCCTCTCACTATTCAACTCTTCATTTCTTTTCCTTATTTAATGCAATCATTATTATAATGATATAAAAAAAAGTTGTTTAACAAATAAATAGTGTTATGTTTTGATGTCAACGATTTGTTTGATCTCTAGTGTCGACAACTAAATTTTGCTTAATTTTTGCTTCCTATATATGTTTAATATTTAACAATAACTACAGACATTAGAAGTTTTTCAAAAATAACAAATTATTATTAGGTAAAGGAAATGTATTGTGAGATATAAATTAATATAATTTATGCATCTATCGTACAAAAATATTTTTATTTTACAAAAATATTATATTACAATTAAGTAATTTTTGAAAGTTTACAAAATAATGATATTATAGTTTAAAATTTACTGTATAATATAAATATGCTGTTTATGAAATAAAATATGCATTAGTTATGATAACTATGGGTTAAAACTTTAGTAAAGCAATTATAAAACTTTATTATTAATCGGAATTATGTAAATAAGACAAATAATTGAAATCTTGTTGTCTATTACAACAGATATTCAATTTGAGCTTAAAATTAAAATAATGAAAATAAGATCTTTAAGTCAATGAACGGACAAATCTACAAAAGTACTTATGAAGGGAATGGCATTTCTATGAGTTTTTAGTTATTATTTTTATAAAAATGTTTCATCAAATACTGTATATTATATAATCTTACAATTAAAAAATATCATATAATTGTTTTACAAAATAAAACCTAAATGAATGCACGTAACGCCCGGTATTGTCATTTAATATTAATATTTTTCTAAAGTTAATAAAATTTCTTTCAGCTTTTATTTTTAAATCTTTAATTGTTTTTAAACACTTTTATTATGAAATCATTTATACTGTAATTTTTAAAAGCTTTAATATTATATAATATAGATAAAACTTTTGTCAACTATATTATCTATATTTTTAAAACAAGTGTTAAAAATTACAAAAGCAAATACAGTATGTCGTTATGCATACACATTGCGGATAACAATATCAGTGGATTCAGGTGTGTTGTGTCTCATCAGTACCGGTTCACACATAATACTATACTCAATGAATGTAAAACATTGTATATAACAATAACAAATATAAGTCCGTTTCAAAGCTAAGCTTTAAAACTAACTTAAATATTGTATATAATGTACTTTACTATACTTTACTTTACAGATGCAGTTATTCAAATACAAACATCAAAAATATTATTATACATTTATTTTTGTTAAATAAAATTATATTTATGCAGCTTAAATTAATATTTTGCACTGTATAACTAACTTATATATTTGATTTTTTACAAATAAAAATAATTATTATTAAATACATATTATATTTTGTGATTATAAAAATCAATTATTAATTATTTTGTAATTTCCGTTTTAGGCAAATTAAAAATAGAAATTGTTTTTTACAATTGTTGTAATTAAGGGAAGCTATGAATGAACGTTGATTTTTAAAAGAGTGTTTTAATTAAAAAAAATTACCAAACAATTTATTAAGAAATATAATAGTTATATTTTTGATTACTTTTTTATTTTAAATGATTATTACTCTCTCTCTCTCTCTCTCTCTCTCTCTCTCTCTCTCTCTCTCTCTCTAATCACTTAACAATATTGAAATATGATATCCTCATATTTAAATCAAAAAACATTTTAATCTATTAATTTGATAATACATTCATAGTTTAAACATTATTTTTTGCTTTAGGTAATAATAATAAAAGAGGAAATTATATATATTGTTGCACAATTATATAGATTTAACCATGTTGTCAGTGTAGATATATTTTTAGTAATTTTATTTAAAAAATTAACTCATTTTATGACAACAACTTATAACAGCAACTCGTGACTTACATTTGCTGATCACTTATCAGTTTTTTTTATATAAACCTAATAACTGGAAAATCAATCACAAGTGCTGTAAGTCATACGGGAAGTCAGTGTTTGTTAAATTAATATTAATTTTTAATATTTTAATAATTCAAAGAGTGTAACAATTAATTAATAAATATCACTAAAATCAGCAATAATTCAATTGAGTTACACTAAATATTTTGTTATGATATTGCAATAAATGTAATGATTTTTATATTGGATCTATTATATCTGGATATTTATAACTAATGCTATAAAATCAAATAATCGCTGATATATCACAAAAATATTTTGGTTATCAATTTAGTACTGAATTTATTTAAGTATAATATATCTGATCAGTGATCTTAATAACAAAAACACAGACATATTTTTAATTATTTACAAAATGTTTATACATTTTATAATTGCAAATAACATAAAATTTCTAGAAAGCTTATTAAAATAACATTTATTATATAATATTTTATTAAATTATTATTGGGCAAATAGATAAATTTTATTTATATTCAAATCTTGCAAATTGGTACTAAAATTTATTCATTTAAAAATTAATTAATTAAAAACATCACTATTTATATCGGTATATAATTTATTCCATTTTATAAACAATTAGATGAGATATTTTATGTCTCTTAAAAATATTAATCACTAATAAATCTATTATTAAATAAAATTTATGTTAAATCAACTATTAAATAAAATATTATAATTACATAAAGCAATTACGTAAAATAAAATAATTTCATTGAATTATATATTTTAAACGTAATATAAATAAAATTAATATATAGACAATAGTAATTATAATAAAATTCCAATTTTAAATAAAAATAAAATTATTTAAGCCATAAAAATAATTACTTATTTAAGATAAACTATAAGTTTATGATTAATTTGATTGCTAAACAATAAATATAATATTAATGCTAAATAAAAATTAAAATTCAGAAGCTTTATTATAAAGTAATATTCTCAATGAAAAACTAAATAAATAAATTAATATATTCGTTATTATTAAATGAAAACATGTTATGATTTGCATAAGTGTTTGTAATAAAAATTGACAATACATTTGTATTATTAGTTTTGTTGTTATTTTGATAAATTACTTCCCACTTCTAATAAAGAAATTAAAACTAAAACCCCCTAAAATACACCCTTTTTTTGCAATATACTGTATAAGTATATATAATTTATATTGTCAATTATACCCTATATTTTAACTTTTGATTGATTTGTTAAACGTTTTATATAATATATTCAATATATATTATTATTACTGTTTTATATTAAATTATTATTTTTTATATATTTAAAATTATATACTATATATAATATCTTAAACTGCACAAAATGTTCAAATTTATATTTTTCTGTAAAAAGTTATATATTTTATAAGATATATTAAATTTTAATAATGTTATAATAATGTTAAAATATAATGCTATTAAATTGACAATACATGAAGAGCATCCAATATGAATATTAATGTCAAGGATTTATAGGACATAAGTTATATTCATATTTATTTGTAAACTACTATTTTAAACATTTGTTTAATTGTATTATTTTTAATAAACATTAGTAGATTTGAATGAAGAAAGCTAAATAATAGTTTAATTTTGAAACTTTTAATATATAAATAAATTGAAATTTTCTTTAGATTAACTCATGTGTGATAAATATATTTAAATTAAGTAATGATAATGTTTTGAAT